CTCATTACCCCAGCCCGAACCGCCAACGGACTACACTCACGCAATAGGAGGGTCTACTTTAACCAGAAAGACCCCCCCCCGCGGATATTATGATCGAAGGCAAAGAGCCGCTACGCCAGATCCTGTTCACTGCGTCTGGTTATTGTGTTGTCAGTCACCGTATTCAAGCCTATAATAAGAAGACCCCACCGTTTTTTTTGGAACGGCGCAAGAACAAACCCAGCGAAGATGTGTTGGCTACCTAAGAAAGTAGCGATGCTCTCTCTAACGCAGAGTTACAATCAACCACCTTAGCGGAGACTGGAGGCGACTCAGATGCCGATATGGGGTCGGACTCTGATATGACCTCGTTGTCTGTCGAACCGTCCTCGATGTGGACCTCCAAACAGATGACATTCATCCCCATTCCACCTCTCCCAGATGTATGCAATGCGTATCATCTGATCGAGAGAAGCAATAATATAATATTTTCATCGGTACCAGCGGATCAGGCACTAGTCTTTCTGTTGCCACCATCTCAAGCCAGCTATCCACTATTCGCATCTCACAACGTGTATGAGTGGATTACGCTGGTCTCGGAAGAGGCGCCTATCTCTCCGGATATAGACGTCACCCTCCATAATCAAGATCGCTCGCCTATCCGATCGCAAGTAACCCAAGTGGAAGGTCAGATCGAGGTGCAGCGCACAACCATTGACTACAACGTTGAATCGATATCAGTTGAGAGTCTGTGCAGTTACATCCAGGAGTTCCTAAAAAAAATTAAAGAAAAATCCAATCCTGAGATGAACATAGTCGCGGTTAAAAGCCAGCCAAGTCATTTTTGCCCGCTCTATGACACGAGCATCCCGAGCAACTACAAGGTGATGATGGGCAAGTTCTACGGTCACGCCTTGTTACGGACAATAAGCTCACAGGAACTGATACCAGACGGACAAAAAGCTCACAGGAACTGCTACCAGAACTCGAGACATTCGAAGACAAGATCTAAGCTGTGTTCAACCCTTAACATTTCGAAGATAACCAGACGATGCTCATACAGTGTCTCAACCATAATCAAGCGCTTTTCTGGCAGGAAGTCTGGATCGCCGAATTCGACTTATTGTTACAAGTGGTGGCCCCAAGCATCTACTCCGACCCATTTAAAGTGTGTGCGATTTCGCAGGCTCTGGCCCAGAGACTTCAGCATACATTTTAATTGCTATGAGATGATACAACGTTACTGAATTTACTCCGACCCAAACTTATGAAGCAATTGGCTAATAAGCGTTTCCCAAGTGAGCTTTAACCTCGATCTGCGAGCTGCGCAGGACCCTCTTTCCCAGCCCGCCTTCTCTCTAATGTAGACTAGGCCCTACGGGGCATCTCTATCATTGAACGGGTTTAACCGAGTCACTCAGAGTACTCTCAACTTCTTTTCATCCAAGTTTCACATTATCGCATTGCAAGAAACCAAGTTCACCAACCTAGCTTACCTCAAGCGTGCAGACTTTTTGTGGAAAAAGACCTTGAGCTTCAATATCGCCTTTTGGTCCCACAACCATTCCAACATGTAAACCGGGCAGGCGGGAGTAGGTATTTTACTCACCCCCACCTGTCCGGTTCAAGATATCCAAGATATCACGGAAACCCAAGTGAGTGACCCAGACACTCTCTCACGGTACTCGCGCTCAAAGGTACACTCGATAATTCTCCAGCCTATATACGTGCAGTGTACGCCCCAGTGAACCCTTCCGGCCGACCGAGCTTCTTTGATAGTCTCCACCGACATTTCGGAGATAATGCCATACAATTAGCTCTCGGAGACTTTAATACCGTCTTTTCGACCCAGCTCGATCAAGTCCACACCAACAACAGAGCCCGTCGCGAGAGTCGTCAAGAGCTCCTAGAGTGGATGCAGGCTCGTAATCTTTTTGATTCCTGGCGCCTGCAAAACCCCCATGTTCGCGAATCTACCAGCCCAAACCGAAGCGCTTGCATCGACTTCGTCCTATCAAGCTCCAATATATTCAGCCGGCATCTCAATCAACTCAAACATGATTGGAAGCACCAGCCCAATAATGCCGACCACTGCGGAATCGGGTTCTTCCTCGGTTCCGCACTATTCAAGCCGAGAACAAGAGCACCGTGGAGATGCCCAAGCTGGGTCATCGAACAACCCGAAGCCCAAGAATACCTGAAGTTGTCCCTGATGAAAATGGCAGAATCAACTGACCTGATTATTTAATCGACTTACAACCCAGGATGCCTACTCGACGAGCACAAGCGCCAAGACTGCGTCTACTTACGCCAGCTATTCAATGGTAATAAGAACAAACGGCAAATCGAGAAAGAAGATCTCCATCTGCGCATCACTCAGCTTCAGCACCTTCAGCATCCCAACCCGTGTGAAGAAGTGTCAACAACTCTGAGCTCGCTCCAGCAAACCTTACGAGCACATATTGAAGAAGAAGATCACCACAAGTCCAGACAAAAATTTGCTTCTGACCTGTACCAGACAGAAAAATGTACCAAGTATTTTTCGACCTCCAACGCTCCTGCACAAGACCACTATCCCAGTATAATCGGCAGAAGACTTAAATTCTGTGTGCGAAGAATTTAATAGGTACGGGAGTGGTAACTATTGCTCGCTATCTAGTGAGTACTCCTATACAAAGCCAAAGTGGAACCCACTCAAGCTATCAAGAATCCTCCAGCACACCAAGACTGGATTAAAAGGGGAAGACCAGCACATGCTAGATAGTTCGTTCACTGCGAACGACTTCCACTATGCACTGAAACACACCACACCAAGCAAGGCCCAGGTCCAGATGGTCTCCCGCTTGCGTACTACCTGGTAGATATCCATCTTTTTGGAGCAAGATACTAGACGTTGTATACTCGTCTCAATTCCAGCTCGGCAAAATAACCAAGTTCCAGAGAAGAGGACATATCTCGCTCCTATACAAGAGCGGTGACCGACATGTACCCAGTAACTATCGGCCAATCACGCTATTGAATATTGACGCCATCTCGGACCAAAAATCTTATCTAGAAGGCTACAGTCAATTTTCCCAAGTTGCTCCATACATACCAATATGGCTGTGTCCCAGGACGTGATATTCGTACTGCGCATCTCCTGTTTCGATCTCTCAAACATCTCCTCCGAAGCAATCAAGAAATGGCAGGAGCAATCCTACTTGACTTTGCCAAAGCCTTTGACAGTGTTGTGTGGGATGCACTCGAGATGATACTGAGGCACTTTAAGTTTGGTCCAAATTTCCGGAAATGTACTCCAGTTATGACTCGAAACACTATTGTATCGATTCTCTTTAATGGTGCTCCATTGCCTCATTTCGCACTGGGTGCAGGAGTTCGGCAAGGTGATCCACTCTCGCCGGCGTTACCCGTAATCTACATTGAGCAACTATTGAGCTATCTCCGAATCCAGCTCAAACCCCATGGTCGCAAGCTACCAGCTTCAGAGGAACCACACATAGTTATCAGCTTTGCAGGTGACTGTACATGGCCTCTCAATGATCTCTCTGTTGTTCCTCAGTTTCTACAACGTGTCCAAGAGTATTGCTCGGCGGTGAGCATGAAACTGAACACACGCAAGACTGTCATACTACCTTTTCAAGAATGGACAAACGAAGGTCAAGTACTCCATGCCCAGCTGCAACAACTCGGGGTCCAAGTCACAGACAATACTAATGAAGCCAACCTTCTCGGTATTCGATATGGACCGCGACTCTCCAATACAGATCAGCTGCACCATCTCATTGCCAATATCCAGCTCCGTTGTATAGTGTGGAAACACCGCGCAAGGACTTTAAACGGCAGAGTGACTTTGCTTCAGCAAATTGTGTTACCAACGCTCTGGTACACAGCCAGTGTATGTCACATCCCGCAATCCGGTTTCCAAGATCAAATCAAGAATTGCATTGCGACCTTTCTAAGTGACTCTAGCACTCCGAGCTCCAGCTGATCAGCTGTCTTGGCTACAGACTGGTGGTACTCTCCAAGATCCCAAGGAGGTCTCGGTCTCACACAAATCGAGGACTCTGTGAACGCACTACAAATACATGCACTTGTACGTGTGATTAATAATGTGCGAAAATACCATCACTCACTTCCCAGTTGGGTGTCCCCTATTGTTGAGGTCTTTCACCAGGCAATGGCGCCATGGGGCCGGCCCCTTGATATCCTACATGCTCCGGTAACTACCAGCCCCAACACGCCAATACTCGACGTTAAAATCGCTGGTCTGCTCTAAACAGCTTTTGGCACCAGGTGCTGTTTGTGTGGCATACGAAGTTGAGACCCAAGATACTAGTCAGTACAAGCAAACTCGACTTATTGTCTATGCCGTTATTGCACAACGCCATAATACGACATGGAAGCCAAGATCGCACATTAGCTACAAGACCCTCGGCACTCGTACAGAGACTCGTCCAATTCCAGCTCTATACGGCAGAAGATTTATACGGTCTCTCTGGTAATACACCTACGCCGGCGTCGCTTGCTACAGCGATTTAACGTCCAGGTGATTCAAGAGCGTATAACATACTTTCTCGTAGACTGCGATATTGCGCTTCGGGTACTCCGTCATTTACCCCACGGCCCTCGTCCAAGTCAAGTATTTGCAAGTGCTTTCCATGACTGGATTATTGGAGAGCACCACCTAGAGGACCTTACAGTTGCTAAGACCCGGAGCATGCTTAAATCTCTCAAGCCTCCTGCGTTGCCATATCAGCGATTAGTTATCTCGAAAGCCCCTGGACCCGACTTCTGAAAACGAGACCTAAAATTAAACAAGCATCTCCTCCCAGTCTATGCTGACTTTCTTTTCCGACTCCAACACAACGCCTTGTATTTAGGCTATCGATTCCAGCATATCCAAGACACCAAGACAACTTCTCACTTCGACTGTAAACACCTTGAGACCCCCAGCACCTGTTCTGGATTTGCCCCATTGCCTCACGGTTATGGCTCCCTTTTCTCCAGCTTCTCCGAAGAAGTTTTGTATGCGAGCTTTCCTGGGGAACACTCGTGTACTTCTCCAGACTCCAGCCTACCCAAGAAGCCAGAGAAAAGAACGGTTTTACTTTTCTTTGTGGTATTGAACTTTGTGCGAGAGCCTATAACCCGCTGCATATGGATGCATCGCATTGAGATTCGGTTCCATGACCAAGTCTCGAATAAAAGCTTCACCTCCACGCGTACCAACATGAACTGCAAGCAAAAAGCCATCGTCACTCTACACTCGTCTTGCGTCAGCTTAAACAGCTAATACAAGATATAGATTTTGATACGAGTCCAGCAACACCCAATGACTAAGCATCTTGTGGACTGAGATGGTCATCGGAGGACAACCCAGTAGAGCTACACACCAAGTCGAGAACGCCAACCGGGAACGTACACAGGGAATAATCCCATCCGGCTCCTTGAAACGGCTTATGCGGAATTATACATGGGTGAGGGCAAGTTCCACCCGTCAAGCTCCAAGCCTGACTGTATTGAGACTTACCCGAAGGTAGATTGGAATATGCCAGATGCTTGACTATGTTATCAGTCCCAAGAAGCGCTTGCACGCGACAATTACCCCAAGCTTTCCAACTTTTGGTTTGGTAGACTCCCAACCCTCGAGTTTTCGGATCCCAACCGTCGGGTTTTAATTTACCATGATTACATGGTGACCGGTATTGATCCAGGGACCAAACTGATCCCAAATCAATTATTGACCGCTGAGCCACAAGACGCCCAAGCATACACCTGACAACGTGTCAAAGCTGGTTATACCATGTTTTCATTTTGACTTGGTTTCAGTATACTGATTGACCGATAATTCGGCCCCATAGAAAAACTGCAAATACATATCAAGTCCATAGTATAGGTAACAGTAAATAGGAAAGCACCCCCTAAAAGTGTAATGAAACTTGTTTATCTGTGGAGACTCCCGTCACCTTCTTCTCCGCACAAGGCGCGTCAAATTTAATCGAATCGACGTCCTGCTTCTAACCAGTCTTCAAGTTTGTCGACAACACCCAGTAGGCGCAAAGTAGTCTACTGGGGGAAACACTGAGTTCTGTTGTACCTCAATGAGGTAGAGGTCAGCAGGTCCAGCCCCGACGAGCTCCGTGCTCTTAACACGGAATGTGTATACAAGCTGGGCTTGCTGGCCAAGGAAGCGACCGTGAACAGCTTCGAGAGGCCATGGAAGATCCTGATCGACTCCGGGGTGTCGGGACATCATGCTCGACGCCCCACAATGGAAGGAAGCCAGCTGTATGCTGAGGCGCTGAAGGCGTGGTTGAGTGACATCGTCACTGTTTGCTTGGTGACGGGGACATATGTCACGGTGCCGAAGGTCCCTGTGGACCTCTGTGTCAATTTTTGAACTTCGATAGCGTGAACGCTCTCAGCCTTAGACTTGGATTTAAGGTATGACCCCATCCTTGGTATGGCATGGCTGGAACACCGTGATCCATGGATAGTCTGGAGGTCGAAGACCTTGGGCGCTGCGCGCTTGTCTCCTGGTAGGGCTCTGGCGATTCATGAACCCACCTCTGCTAGGAGGCAAAAGCACCTCTGGCGCGGGCACTGGATCGAGACGGTCAACGAGCTGGAGATCGGAGTATCCGAGTGGTCGGACACCGAAGGGTATCGGACACGAGTCCCGAGCATGGCTCACGGGTGTATAGCGTATAGCTATATACGGTATGACGGTGGAGGAAGACGGCAACGTCACCCTCTAGGCTATTTCTGCGATTGATGCTTTTCTTAAGCTGGAGTAGATGTCCTTAGTAGAAATCGGCGGTGCCTTGAAGGCAGGCAAATTAGCCAAAGTGGTCATTGTACGACCGGACGAGGAGATGAAGTCGTCATCGCTTTTGGATGAAGCTGTCTTGGAAGATGCCAATAGAGTGCTGAATGTACGGAGTGGATCGTCGATCCTATGGAATCCCTAAAGAAATTTCAAGACGTCATCTTTACAGACCCGCCGTCGGTCCTACTTCCGGACCGAGGTGTGCGTCATGAGATCGACTTGGTTCCGAAAACCAAATACTGCGTAACAAGCCAATGGCCCTGCCCAAGGAGCAGTGCGACGTCATTGACGCCTTTTTCCATGCGAAGCACGACGCAGGAATGGTACGTGAGAGCAAGTCTCCCCATTCAACACCCAGGTTTTGTGTTTGGAAGCCGAACGGCAAATGGCGTATTGTTCACGCTTACAATAAGCTCAACGCTGCCACCATTCCTGCACAAACGCCAATTCCTAGAAAAGCATTCTAGAAGTGCTCCAAGCGGCATACTCTGGGTAGTGGCTGGTGATGCCCCAAGGGCTGTCAAATGCACCAGCAACAATTTATCGTCTTGTGACGCAGTTGCTCAGGCCCGACCGGACGTTTGCACAGACATGCTTCGACGACATCTTCGTCCGCAGTCGAGCGGAGCACGGGAGGACAAATGAAGCAATCCAGATCGTCAATTTAAGAGCGGCTGTCGAGTGCATGCACACGAAAAAGCTGTGTACAGAACTGACAAGTGCATCCTCGGCGCCGAAGAAAATATCTTTTTGGGTGCTTTATTGGGAAGTGCGGCCTTCGAGCGAAGGTCAAGGCCATTTGAGACTGGCCGGTTTCAAAGATTTAAAAGAATTTGCGCAAGTGGCTTGGCTTCGCCAACTACTTGCAAAGTATAGCGCAAATTATGCGGATATTGCACGGCCATTGTCGAATCTAGAAGAATTCGGAATTGTATCGGGGAACTGAGCATCGAAAGGCTTTAGACGAAGTCAAAACATTCTCATGCACCAATGCTGGTGTCACCAGACTCTGATCGTCCTTTCAGTATCATGTGTGACTTTTTTTTGGACTTTGCCATCGGCTGTGCACTGCTGAAAGCAGACGCCGAAGGGCAAGATCGGCTGATCGCACTCGAATTTCGCAAGCTTAAAGCTGCGGAGAGAAATTACCCAGTCCATAACAAGTAATTACTTGCGATGAAGTATGCACTTCTCAAGTTCATGGTGTACCTGCTCGGCTCCGAGCCGATCGTGATCCACACAGATCATGCGTCACTACGCACTCCGACTCAGTCGCCTCACCTCTCGCAGAGGATGGCCATGTGGCTCTCTTCCATCGCGGAATATAACTTTAAGGTGAAGTATAAGCCAATAAAGCAGAATGCTATAGCCGATGCTTTGTCACACAGATCAAGAAGCGGACAAGAAATTGTCGTCGTGTCTGCGTGCTCAGTTGCACCAATATTCATTAAAATTTGGATTGCTGTATTATAGCACCGACGCGACGGATACACCACAAATTGTGGCTCCTCTCGATCAGTGTTTGAAGTACCGTATTCACTATGAGGCTCACGATACCCCACTCAGTGGTCATCTCTGTCGGGAAAATACCTACAGCTCTGTGAGTTGCCACTTTTGGTGATCCAAGCTCTACAATTGGACGAGCATCTTTGTGCGCACGTGTGAGACTTGTCAAAGGATCAAACACTCTCCGAATGCGGCGGCGACGCTGGCCAGTTTGCCGGTGCCTTCGGGATGCTGGTGATCTATGAGTTTGGACTTTGTATTTGGCCAGCCGAAGGACTCGGCGGGCAACACGGGCGTCGTGATCTTCGTCGACCGTTTGAGCAAGACGACTCATCATGCGGCGGTGCTGGACGACATCGACAGTATCGGTACATCGATGCTATTTGTGGGTCGTGTCTTTTGACAACATGTGCCTCCGAAGTCAATTGTCTGTGACAAAGATCCACGCCTCACCGGGAAGTTAGTTTTGGTCGACAATATCAAGTTGCTGGGAACTAAGCTGGATATGTCAACAGCGGTCCATCGGCAGATCGATGGTCAAGCTGAGCGCGTGAATTGCGTCGTTAAGGACGTTTTTTGCAGAGACTTTGAGGTGCTTGAGCGCATTTTCGTCGGGGAGAGCCAGCGGCGGACGATGACGACCAGATCGATCGCCGTTCGGTGACTCGCGATGCTCATCAATCTTTCGAGGACGATATCCATCGCAATCGGGATTCCGTCGAGCATTATTCTGGGGTCGCATACCGCTGTGCAGAAGAACCTGAGAGCTTGGAGCGCGTTGTGCACCGACTGCCTCGCGTAGAGAATTATCGCGCTCTGTCGGAGCAGTTCCTGGACGTCGAGCGGACCAATACGTCAATTAGTGCGACAGTAGAGCGCCTGGCACCCTTGATGATGGACATCGTTGCATTCCGTGCCCAGAACCAGTTGATAGTGCAGCTTCTGGGCGGTCGAGCGCCTGTGAGCGCCGCCCCGGT